ATATATACAGATTAAGTTTGTGTCATAGGGCACAAGCGCTCTCCACAGAGAATGTGAGAGGGAAAGTGAAAAATCACCATCCAGGGGAGACTGCCACATCACAGTCCCTCTCCTCCCGGGATTTTGGGCACCCATGCACATGAGTTCAGGGCCAGGCATTGAGTCCCACATAACCTACTCTGTGGTTCAAATCCTGGACCTGGAGGCTTGAAAAAAACACGCTGTGTGTGTGTGTGTGTGTGTGTGCGTGTGTGTGTGTGTCCAAAGTCTTGAGAGGAGGATAGAAGAGAAGGGACTATGGCTTTGCCATTCCCCCAGGAGGTGATTCCCACCTTCCCTCTCTGTCTCTTTGGCAATTACATATGCTCTATGATAAAACAAACACACACATTAAATTTAAGAATCTGAGTTAAGGTCATTTTTGGCAAATCAGTTTTTAATAGTACATGTAATTCCACAGTAAAAAGCTCAAGGCTCAGTGTGGTCACAAGGGTGGCAGGGTGCTGCTGTGTGAGGCTGGAGGCATGTGGGAATGCCTGGGCCTGGATCCCAGGCTGGCCTGCACTTGCTGGGTGCTCCCAGGATTCTGGTTGGCTGGAAGGCTGGGGGGACTATGGTATGGTGAGACCCTGTCAGGGGAGCCTGCCTCTCTCCCTCTCAGCCTCCCTCCCTTTTCTCTCTAGCTCAAAGGGAAGACAGAATATTTTAAAAAAAGAAAGAAGCCTTTAATTTGCTAAAATATACGTAGAAATACTGATATTGCAATCCATTTTCTCGAGAGATTTTTGCTATAGGATGCATACGCTCTCCAGAGAGACAGAAAGTGAGAAACAGCCCCCAGAGGGGATGGCCACGCTGCCATTCCTTTCCTCCCTTCTCCTCTGTTCTCTCAGGATATTGGGCATGCATGCACACGCACCTGGCATGAGTTTCAAGCTGCCAGGTCTGGGATTTGAACTGCAGTGGGCCACATGGGAGTTCAGTGCCTTAACTACTACAACAACACTATCTGTTGGGCCCTGATGTGATGTTTACACATTCACAGCTGAATCTGGGCTTTAAGAAAAGGCTCTAAATCTACTGATTTCATGTGCGTTTCATATCTTAAAGGTTTCTTAGACAACTAGGAAGCCATGAGTGTGGCATTGCTGGGTGGAATCAGCACACTGATCATCGCAGACATCAGGCCTCCTTCAGCAACAGACTGGAGTGTGTGGGAAACAGCTCCCCTCTCCTTCAGCCAGCAGCGTTCTTCTTTTGGTTTTTCTTTTTTTGGAGAGGTTTTTGCTATAGGGTGTGTGCGTTTGCCAGACACACACAGAGAGAGAGAGAGAGACAGAAAGCAAGAAATCACCCTCCAGGGGGGATGGCCATGCCGCAATCCCTTCTCCTCCATTCTTCTCTCGGGATCTTGGGCACGCACGCACACGCGCCTGGCGTGAGTTTAAGCCACCGGGTCCGGGACTCGAATCACGGTCGACTATGTGGGAGTCCAGCGACATAGCCATTATGCTAACTGCTGGTCCCTCTTTTGGTTTTTCTTAGCATTTCCCCTCTTGCCTTATTATTTTTGCTCTCCTATTTTTCTTCATTCTGTACTTTTCACTATATATATATGTGTGTGTGTATATATATATATATATATATGTGTATATATATATGTGTGTGTGTGTGTGTGTGTGTGTGTGTGTATATATATATATATATACATATTAAGTTTTTGTCATAGGGCACAAGCGCTCTCCACAGAGAATGTGAGAGGGAAAGTGAGAAATCACCATCCAGGGGAGACTGCCACATCACAGTCCCTCTCCTCCCGGGATTTTGGGCACCCATGCACATGCACACACACACACACACCTGGTGTGATTTTCAAGGCGCCAGGTCTGGGACTCAAATTGTGATCAGCCATATGGGAATCCAGCACCTTAACCACCACGCCACCTGCTGGTCTCCTGCACTTTTCACTCTTAGTTTCATTTCTGGCTTATTTTTCTCCTCCTGTCATAGCAGCAATTTTTATGTCCAGTAGCAATTTTTCTCTCTCTCTTGGGGCTGGCAGGTGGTGTGGTGGGTGAGGGCACTGGACTCCCACATGGCTGACAATGGTTCAGGTCCTGGACCTTGCAGTTCGCTTTCTCACTTTGCCTCTTTCTCTCTCACTTCATCCTTCTATGGTCAAATTAAAATAAATAAAGTTAAAGAAATAATTCTTAAAAAAGAAAAGAAAAGAAAAGAAAAGAAATTATTCTCTCTATTCATCATGGCCTATAGCTGTTTTTTTTAATACTTTTTATTTTTATTTTTTGGAGAGGTTTTCGCTCTAGGGCATGTGCGCTTGCCAGACAGACAGAGAGAGACATAGAGACAGAAAGCGAGAAATCACCCGTGAGGGGGGATGGTCATGCTGCAATCCCTTCTCCTCCATTCTCCTCTTGGGATCTTGGGCACGCACGCACACACACCTGGCATGAGTTTTAAGCCACCGGGTCCGGAACACAAACCGCGGTGGACTACGTGGGAGTCCAGTGACATAGCCATTATGCTAACTGCTGGTTCCCAATACTTTTTTTTTTGAGAGGTTTTTGCCATAGGGCACTTGCATTCATGAGACAGAGAGAGAGAGAGAGAGATAGAAAGCGAGAAATCACCCTCCCAGGAGGGATGGCCACACTGCAATCCCTTCTCCTCCATTCTCTTCTCGGGATCTTGGGCACTCACGCACACGTGCCCAGAGTAAGTTTTAAGCCACCAGGTCCGAGACACGAACTGCGGTCAACTACATGGGAGTCCGGTGACACAGCCATTATGCCAACTGCTGGTCCCGCCCACAGCTGGTTTTGTCTTCAGGCTGGTGCAGTCTCACATCTTTGCCTGTGACCCTACGGGATCAGCATATCCCTGGGTCAGGTTGAAGTTTAAGGCACACATAGGCTAATCATTAAAGATGCATGCCCTACCACCCATCGCCACTGCTGGTCTGTCCACAGTCATGGATCAACCCCGACTTCCCAGTTGGGAAAAGAGACCTTGGCGGCCTCTGCAGAGGTTTGGTCATGTCACTTCCACTACCCAGAAAGGAATTAAAGGAGGTACTTTTGCTTTTCCTTTCTCCACAATGTGATACTCGCAAGACCATGTTTTAAAAAGAATGATTTATTTAATTATATTCATTTATTTTAATTTGACCAGAGAGAGGGAAAGTGAGAAAAAAAGCCTCCAGGACTCGAACTGTTGTCGGCCATGCAGAAGTGTCCAGCACCTTAACCACCACACCACCTGCTGCCCTCCAGATCATTCTCTTCAGCACTTAGATAAAGGGCCTCCATAAGATCTCCCAATGCTATGTAAGATTTTGTGTCTTTCAAATTTATGTGCGTTTCTTCTAGAGTCCATGGCTACCATCAAATTATCAACGTGGAGACCAGCAGGTGGCATGGTGGTTAAGGCACCGGACTCCCGCATACATAACTGTGGTTCGAACTCTGGACCCAGTGGCTTGAAAATCACACCAGGCTCGAGTGTGTACATGCTGAAAATCCTGAGAAGAGAATGGAGGAGAAGGGACTGCAGTGTGGCCACCCCCCTGGGCAGTGATTTCTCACTTTTCCTCTCTCTGTCTCTGTCTCTCTTTCTCCAGCAAGTGCACACACCCTATGGCAAAAAAACTAAAAAAAGAAAGAAAAGAAAAAAGTAAAAGAATAGTCACAGTGCCTTTTGAACCCTAAGCAGCTGAGAACCATTGCCAAATAAATGAGGGAAAATTCTGAGATCCATGAACTGAGAATCACAGTAATCGTACTTTGGATTCTAGAATTAGGCAGCGAACCCTCACTTCCTAGAACTGAGGAGAACGGCATGTTTCCTACATCACCGGGAAACACCCACACAGCATTCATTCCTATTTGCTGGCGACTTTTCGACTTCACATAAATGTCAACATTTAAAGAAAAAATATAAATTTCCATTAAATTCCCATAAATTACTTTCCTAGACAGTGTCCAAAACCACACTGTTTCATGTGAGAACACTGAAGGGATTTTCCCTCCTGGCACCAAGAGTATGGTGTTTTCCCACACAAATTCTCCACTTCTCTAACAACAACAGGATATCCCACAATTCAGTTCTGACACTAACCACCCACAGTCAGCAGACACCATGGATTAAGGGGCCAGATCCACAAAATTTTCCTCACTTCAGGGGACAGTAGCAAGTATGGCATCTCTAGATTCCCCACACTCTTGTCCACCGTGGCTACAAACTGAAGGGTTTCCCACAATCCCACCCCTCCGGTTGGATGACTTGCTAGAACAGCTCCCAGAACTCAGAACAATGTCCTGCTTCCCATTATTTGCACAGCATTATCAAGGATATAAATGAACAGAGGTACAAGGGAAAGGTCGGGAAGGGTCCTGAGTGCAGGAGCCTCTGTCCCTGTGGGTACGCCAGCCCCTGGTCTGTAGACGTGTTCCCAAACTTGGAATCTCCACGGAATTCAGCAGTTTGTTCTTAATTTGCCAAAAGCTGCATGTGCTCTCCAGAGAGCGAGACAGAGAGACAGAGATGGAAAGGAGAAAGCATGGGCCCCCGTGGGATGTGGTCAAATCACAACCCCTTCTCCATTTCTCCTTTCTTTTAGGATTTTGGGCACACTCACACTTACATGCCCAGTCAGTTTCTCAAGTTGCTGGGTCTGGGACTTGAACTGTGTAGTGAGCCATGTGAGAGCCAGCTCACCTTACCACTAGGCCATGGGGCTGGCCCTAACAGGGGATTTAATGCAGGTTTCGTTACATAGGCATGACTGATTCAGTTACCAGCCACCGTGGTTGAACTCAGTCTGCAGCTCCTCTCTGGGGATCAAACTTTCAAGCTTCTAAGGAAGGTCTGGTCTTTCTGGCGACCAGTACCATCCAGAAGCTGAGAAGGGGCCTGTCAAGAAAAGCCTCATTATCACGAACTCAGATATGGTAAAAAAAAAAAAAATAAAAAATAATAAAAAGAAAAGAAAAGGGAGTACTTATTATGAATTAAGGAAGATAAGCTCCTATCACTTGGAAAATTCCAAGGCTTTTAGGAACCAGGATGACAAACCAAATATACACAGGTGATCCCTGACTTAGGATGGTCGGACTTAACAATTTTTTGATTTTACAACGGGTTTGTCAGGACGTAACACCATCTTCAGTCAAGGAGCATCTGTATATTTCTAATTATACCTCAACTATTACAGAAAAAAAGGTCTAAATCTCAGGGTAAACACCGGATTTAATTGGCTTCCATAAGCCAAGGAAGAACAACTGGTCCCAAGTTCACTAGCTCTTCTAGGCTCCTGGAGGGCAAGGCCTTGTCTGTCTTAGTCACTATCTTATCGCCAGCACTATTGCCCAGAGATGCTTGATCGATTCAGTGTTTTCATTTACAGAATCAGAACAGGGTCATGAGCAAAACTAAAAAATTGCTATTGTTTTACTTAGACATGCACTACTTTTTAAAAAAGGATGATTTAATTTGAAAAATTATTATTATTTTCCAGTGTGGTCAGAGAGAGACAGAGAGAGAGGGTAAGTGAGAAAGCAAGCCACCAGCCGGGACTTGAATCATGGCTGGACATGCCAGCATCCCATGCCCAGCGCCTTTAACCACCAGCCACCTGCTGGCCCCGATATGTACTAATTTTTTCAGTCTGCAGATTTTTAAAGAGTTAATTTACTGGAGGCCAGCAGGTGGCATGGTGGTTAAGGTGGTGGCATCTGGAATGGATTGTGGTTTGAGTCCCAGACCTGGCAGATTGCTTTCTCACTTTCCCTCTCTGTCTCTCTCCGTCTCTGGCCAAATTAAAACATAATAATAATAATGATAGTAAATAAGATTTAATAAAACAATTCTTTTTTTTTTTAAAGTTAATTTACTTAGGTCTCTTTCTCTCTGTCTTTCTACTGAAAACTTCAAAAGGGTCTTGACACTGAGCTCCCCGCAACCCCAGTGAGTCCCAGATAATGGGTGCATTGGTGCCTGGTACACTCAGGGAGGTCTCTGGATACAAACCCAGAACTTCCCATGTGGGTGAGTCTTGCAGAGCATTGCATTTTACTGCTGTGGCACCATCCAGCCCACTTGATAGATTTGAAGCATGAAATAGGCAAAGGCAAGGTTCAAACCTGAAGACCAGTGTCCTTCTGTGTCATGTGAATGGGTCCAATGAAATGACTCCCACCCCTTTAGGGTTCTAGAAGCTGCAAGTACCTGGTGGCTCGTGGCTTCTTGACTCATTCTATGCTCTAGGTAGGAGGATGAAGTAGAAGTGCATCCACTGAGAAATCAAATGCTGATTTCCCACGGCATGAATTAAGAATTCTATTCTTGGGACCAGCAGTTAGCGTAATGGCTATGTCGCTGGACTCCCACGTAGTCAACCGTGGTTTGCGTCCCGGACCCGGTAGCTTAAACTCATGCCAGGCGCGTAAGCGTGCGTGCCCAAGATCCTGAGAGGAGTATGGAGGAGAAGGGATTGTGATGTGGCCATCCCCCCTCAGGGGTGATTTCTCACTTTCTGTCTCTCTCTGTTTGTCTGGCGAGCACATGCGCCCTACAGCAAAAACCTCTTAAAAAAGTAATTCTATTCTTTGTTTCAACTCCCTTTCTCAGTTTACATTTTTTTTAAGAATTATTTAATTTTATTTATTGCCATTATTTTATTTTATTTTATTTATTTATTTTTTTTTTTGAGAGATTTTCGCTATAGGGCGCGTGCACTCGCCAGACAGACAGAGAGACATAGAGACAGAAAGCGAGAAATCACCCCCCAGGGGGGATGGTCACGCCACAATCCCTTCTCCTCTATTCTCCTCTCGGGATCTTGGGCATGCACGCACACGCGCCCGGTGTGAGTTTAAGCCACCGGGTCTGGGACGCGAACCGCGGTCGACTACGTGGGAGTCCAGCGACATAGCCATTACGCTAACTGCTGGTTCCCTATTTTATTTTTTTGAAGTTGACCAGAGAGAGACAGAGAGAGAGAGAGAGAAGGAAAGTGAGAAAACAAGCCAGGTCCAGGACTGGAACCGAGGTCAGCCATGTGGGAACCCAGTCACCTTAACCACCACCCCATATCTGTTTTAATAACATACCATATTCCATGATGATGGCAACAAGGGGGGGAGGGGCCCAGCCATGGTGGCCCAGGAGGTAGAGTGCATGGCATAACACTAAAGCATATCAGAAGGCTCAGGGTTCAGAGCCTGGGCTGATCTGCACGTGCTGGGTGTGCCTATGGCTAGATGGAAGGATGGGAGGCAGAAGGGTGGGTATCTTGGTGTGTGAAACTCTCTTGAGGGCACCAGTTTCTCTTTCTCTCTGTCTCATGAAATAAAGAAGTAAATAAACTTGTTTTTTTAAGAGAGATTTTTGCTATAGGGTACTGCACTCCCCAGAGACAGAAAGAGACAGAAAGTGAAAAATCATGCCCTGGGGGGATGGCCATGCCACAATCCCTTCTCCTCCATTCTCTTCTCGGGACTTTGGGAATGCACACACACATACAAATACACATACACACATACACACACACACACACACACACACACACCCCTGATGTGAGTTTTTTAAGTCGCCTAGTCTGGGACTCAAACTGTGGTCAACTGCGTGGGAGTCCAGCAAGGTAACCATTTCACCATCTACTAGTCCCAAGAAGTAAATAAACTTTAAAAATACATATATAAATATGGTCTTTTGTTTTCAATATTATAGACGCTTGTTAGAGGATATACCAGTGATTCTTAACCTTTTTTCTACCCAGGCACCTGAGGGATATGTGTACACACTCACCAGTAACTTTGACTCAGCACGGGAGGTGGCCACTTGCAGAAAATCCCCCTCCTCCCAGTGATATTGTAACCCACCTTTCTACCCCATTGGAATCACTGGTATAAACTCTTCAGCTATTGGGTTGTCGGGAAAATAATGACACATTTTTGCATAGAAAAGTACATCATACTTTCCCGACAACCTAATACGTCCCTTAGCTGCTAAAGTCATAAAAACGTGGAATGAAGAGTTGCCAGGGAACCACTATTCACCTGCTATGTTTTCTGTGGAACAGCAAGAGCTAACGCAGTCTTCCTGAGTTACCGCATATACGGGCTCATTGCCTCTGATTCCCCTAGAGAGCGATGATTGGATGTCAATGACAACATCTTCTAGACTCTCGGTGAGGCACTTCTGACTGGTGGACAGCTTTAGTGTCAGGAAACAAACGACCAAAGTGTAAGCCAAGCTCCGTTCTTCCCTGAGGGACATTTTAAATTTCAGTTTAGTCTTGGTCTTCAAATGTCAAGGATGGCCCACCTTCAGGTTCTAGTTTGCGTCAAAAAGAGGGCACAGGTGATGGGATTTCTCTCTAGAACAAAAACAGAAAATCATCAGTGAGTTTTACTTTTTTTTTAAAGAATTATTTTATTTAACTTTATTTATTATTATATCATTATTATTTTTCAGTTTGATCAGAGAAAGACAGAGATAGAGGTAGTGAGAAAGCAAGCCACCAGGTCTGAGACTTGAACCGTGGTTGGCCATGTGGGAGTCCAGCGCCTTTAACCACCACGCCACTTGCCAGCCCCAGTGAGTTTTACTTCTTTTGACAAATGAGGAAAGAAACATTTCCTTCCTTCTCTCCTTCACTAAAAGGTGGGTGTGTTCGCACAGAGAGAGACAGACAGAGAAGGATCGCGAGAAAGCACTCCCATGGGGAGAGTCGAGTTGCAATCCCTTCTTCATTTCTCCTCTTGGGATTTCAGGCATGCATGCCCATTCATCTGGGTTTTTTATTTTTTTTAGAGGTTTTTGCTATAGGGTGCGTAGGCTCACCAGAACGACAGAGAGAGACAGAGAGATAGAAAGCGAGAAATCACCCCCATGGGGGATGGCCACGCCACAACCCCTTCTCTTCCATTCTCCTCTTGGGATCTTGGGCACGCACGCACACGGGCCCGGTGTGAGTTTAAGCCCCTGGGTCTGGGACTTGAACCACGGTGTCGACTACATGGGAATTCAGCGACATAGCCATTACACTAACTGCTGGTCCCATCCGGTGTGTTTTTAAGCCACTGAGCCTGGGACTCAAACAGCACACCTGCCATGTGGGATGCAGCTGCCTTAGCCATCATCCTACTAGTTGGCCCTCTTTTCTTTTTTCATAAGGGCATGTGCATTCACCAGAGACAGAGAGAGGGAAAGTGAGAAATCACCCCTGCCCCCAGGGCGGATGGCCATGCCATAATCCTTTACCCTCTTTCTCCTCCTGGGATTTTAGGCATGCACATTTATATACCTGGTGTGAGTTTCAAGCCACCAGATCTGGACTCAAACTGCGGTCAGCCACATGGGAGTGCAGCACCTTAACAACCGTGTCACTGGTTGGCCGTGCCCTCATTTCTTCTAAGCCACTGAACAAGACCCATGTAGGGAGGCCTTTGGACCCACTCATTTTCTGTCCACTCAGGCCCACTCCTACCTCTCGGGGTGTAATTTTACTTTTACTCAATAACTTTTACTCAAACATTTGCCTTATATGAAAAAAAAAATGACCCATGTGTAATTTAGAAAAGGATAGAAATAAACATTATTTGTTCATTTCATTTTTAGAAGATTTAAGACTTAAAAACTGGCAAAGAACTAATAAGCACAAACACACATTGGGTCGTTGGAAAAGTCATGATGCATTTTTGCATAGAAAAACATAAAGAAACGACATCATGACTTTTCCGACAACCTAACATAATATCTGAACAGTGGTTACAAACTGACACTATCAATAAAAGAGGTACGAAGAGTAGGCCACCTTTTAAGTTCTCTCTTTTGCTTCTCCTAAAGAAAAAAGAGAGGAAGTCGAATTTCTAGTCATTGGTTAACAGTAATAATAGGTCTGGACATATTTTCTTCCTCAGTAATAACAATCAATATTTTAAAATATTCTTCTGAGGGAACTAGCAGCTGGCATAATGGTTATGTCGCTGGACTCCCACATAACTGACCACAGTTCAAGTCCTGGACCTGGTGGCTTAAACCTCACACCAGGCACATGTGCGTGTGTGCCCAAAATCCTGAGAGGAGAACAGTGGAGAAGGGACATGGCTATCCTCCTGGGAGGTGATTTCTTGCTTTCTGTCTCTCTGTCTCTCCAGTGAGCACCCTGCCCTATAGTAAAAATCTCTCTCTTAAAAAAAAAAAAAATTACTGGGAGTCAGCCGGGGACATGGCAGTTAAGGCAGGGGACCTCACATGGTTGACTGCGGTTCAAATCTTGGACATGGAGGCTTGAAAATCAAGCCAGGCGTGTGTTTATTCATGCCCAAAATCCTGGGAGGAAAATGAAAAAAAAGAAAAGAAAAAGGGGGATTGTGGCATGGCTACCCCCCTTTAGGGATGATTTCTCACGTAGGGGTGATTTCTCTCTCTGTCTCTCTCTTTTCTCCAGTGAGCATACGTACCCTATGGCAAAAAAATCTAAAAAAATATTAAAAAATCATCTACTGGGTAGTAGCAGGCACTGTACTGAACAATAGACATCTGTGACTCCAGTTAAGACGTAAACCAGCCCTACCAAAAAATCAATTACTCTCCGATTTCTTTTTTAATCACCTCAGGACACATGCTCTCATCAGAAAGAAAGAGTGAGAAACCGTGTGAGAGAGCCACCCCAACGGAGCATGACCATACCGCAATTACATCTTCCAGTTCTCCAGCCATCAGGATTTGAGACGTGCATGCAAATATACCTGTCATGTTTTTCAAGCTGCTCGGGCTGAGATTTGAACCATGGTTAGCCATACGGGATCTGGCTCCCCATGTACAGCACTTAACCACAACACAACTGAGCTAGTGCTTCATCGTATAATGAAAAAACTAAGACAGGCCTCTTGTTTTACGTATTTATTTATTTTTATGATGAGACATGGTCTTACTATACAGCCCAGGCTAGTCTTGAACTCACAATCTAGAGAAATATTCTGGCTCAGTTGAGAGGCATGTGCTCTTTTTGATACTAATAAAAACATAAAAGCTGTACTATGTATAGTGCCAACTCCATTGGTGCCAACTGCCATTTCCATTTTACAAAAGAAAAAAAGTTAAGGGACCAGCAATTAGTGTAATGGCTATGTCGCTGGACTCCCATGTAGTTGACCGTGGTTCAAGTCCTGGACCCGGTGGCTTAAAACTCACACCGGGCGCGTGTGCGTGTGTGCCCAAGATCCTGAGAGGAGAATGGAGGAGAAGGGATTGGGATTGCAGCATGGTCATCCCCTCTGGGAGGTGATTTCTCGCTTTCTGTCTCTCTGTCTGTCTGGAGAGCACACGTGCCCTATAGCAAAACAAACAAACAAACAAACAACAACAAAAAAACCTCTCCAAAAAAAAAAAGAAGAAAAAAAAAGTTAAATTGGCAAGGCAATATGAGAAACTATCTCTCCTCCTCTAACCCCAACCCCTCACACTTCCAGAATACAAATCACTTACTGACTGAAAGCTGAGAGCAGCATTATTGCTTATTGACCTTTTTGTGGCCTTGAGCTCTTTGGAAGTTTAGAATTCTCTGAGAAAAACTGTTTTAAAATGCAGCCAATGAGATTACAAAGGATTACACAGGAAGCCAGTTGCGCTGAAATAAAATTATCAAAATAGTTTTTAAAATGTGCCTGTAAAACTGATGAAAGAAATCGAACAAGATGTAAGTAAATGGGAGAGATAGTCCATGTTCATGAATAGAGATATGATATGATTAAAATGTCACTTTTTATCCCCGACCTGATCTATAGATTCAATACAGTCTCAAGCAAAATCCTGGAAAGTTATTTTGTGGATATCAGCAAGCTGATTTTAAAAACTGCACAGGAATGCAGGAAAGACTAGCCAACACAATTTGCCTAATCGACTTTGAAGAACCAAGTTGGAGGAATGGTACTGCCCAACTTCGATACTTACTATAAAGCTACACTAATTTTAAAAAATGTGACAACAGCAAAAGGATAAATAGATGAATGGAATGGAACAGTATGCCCAGAAATAAACCTGTACAGTCATCTGTATTTTCAGTATATAGCATCTTCACAGCCCCTGGACTGCAGAAAGTATTTAAGACCAAATCGATAAAGATACTCAACAATCCTTATGTTAAGTCTTGTAACCATTCATATTTAGGCCTTAAACGGCCAAAATGTAGTTAAATACTGTTGGAAATAAGGAAAAAGATACAGGTAGGCGGGAGAGGAAACGCCTGAACTTTAACACCTGCTTACTGGTCACTACAGCTTGTACATAGCTATTTCAGATAGTGGTAATGTAATCATTTTACTCACAGCATACTTTGTCAAGATGCTTATGCCTGTATACACACGCGTCCTACAGGGTATCAGACTTAAGAAGGTTCAATAATGAACACACTAGCTAATACAAGAAACAAATGAGAAAATTTCCATTCCTTAGGGGAAACGTACAGTATATTGTTCGCGAACTATTCTGCCTCTCCCGACAAGGCGGAGCCCGTGCCATTTAGGGCAGGTGCTTCTGAGCCTGCCAGGCGAGCCACCTCCGGGCACCCAGATGCTTTTCAGCCTTATTCGCTCCTCTCCGGCCTGGCCCTCGGGGTGCTCCGGTATGGGTGGGGGAGCCTAGGCTCCTGGAGGGGAAAAAGCTGTTCTCTCGGCAGGTGGGACGCTTTACCTGGAGGCAGAAGCCCGGGGGGCCGCGACGCCCTCCGGTGAGAGGCCAGCTCCAGCAGCGCGCTCGCGGGCAGGCCTGGCGACCCCGCGCGAGGGTCTCGGCGAGGACCGCAGGGGATGCTCCGCAGCTCCCGCCCAGGCCCGGCGGGTTTTGTGGTCAGCAAGTTCCTGCTTCCGTCGCAGACAAGGAAAGTTTGCGGCGGTCCGCCCCTGCAACCCGGACCTGCTTCCTAGCAACATCCAGGGAGGTGCACTGGGCACTGCCCGCCGCCAGCCGCGCCGGGCGGAGGCTCCAGGGCCCCGAGGGCGCCCGCCCTAGCTGCGCCCCCAGCGCGCTCACTGCCGCGGCGGACTGCAGGCTGCGCGCGCGGCCAGGCGCGACCCTGCGGGCAGCTCCAGGGGCTGCAGCTGCGCCTCCTCGCCTTCCTGAAGCTGGGGCGCGAGCAAACGCCCTGGGGAAAAAGTCCCACAGCACAAAAAAGGACAATGTGGTGAAAAAGTCTCCCCTTGAACCCGGTGTCCCAGTCTCCTAAGATCCCTCCCAGCGGCAACCACTGAGAGCAGTTTCTTGATGTTCAAGAGTCTACAGTGCATTCTATTTGGGCGTGCTCGAGAGAATTCTGTTTTAATTGTTAGAGGCTGATAGGGCCTCGGTTGGAGTTGGCAATTCTTGAGTTGAATATTATGTGCAAACCAAGTCTCAAGGTAAGCATTTGACTTTCTGTGGGATTACTGGTAGTGTTTGGGATATAGTCATGATGAAAACTATGGTGACTGTTAGTTATTTAAAAATTACATTGCTCTCGGCTTGGACTAAGATCAAGGGTAGGTTGCAGAAGTTTTTTGGGACCAGCAGCGTAATGGCTATGTCGCTGGACTTGTATGTAGTCGACCGGCTTCGAGTCCCAGACCCGTGATTTTAAACTCATGCGGGGCACGTGGGCACCCGAGAGGAGAATGGAGGAGAAGGGATTGCAGCGTGGCCATCCCCCTTGGGGGGTGATTTCTCCTTTTCTGTCTCTCTGTCTCTTTCTGTCTTTCTGGCAAGCGCACACACCCTATAGCAAAAAAACTCTCAAAAATTAATTAAAATAAACAAATAAGTAAATGAATAAAAGACGTTTTCTAAATCAGTGCTAGCTCACCCCCACCTCTGTATACAAACAAATGCAACATTACTACACGACTGACACTTACCTCTCAAGCTGGTCTAACCTTTGGCCAGGTCTTCACCTCAGTGTGACAGAGCTTCAGACTTAGAGCACTATGCAATTGTACATGGCCGTGCAGCCAGCTGCACCTGCTGTTAACCTATAGCTACAGGAGGTATATGTTGACAGGGAATAGCTTGGGAACAATGGTCCATTATGTGAACTAACTCTGCTAGCTGTCTCCAGAAGATGACCTACTCTTGAATTACAGTAATATTGCCAAAGCTTGTTTTCAAAGAGTTAGCAAAGAAAAGAAAAGTTCACAGTGATAGTTCCTTGGACTGATTTTCCTGATGCAACAAGGGACTCACACGCACATGTCTTTTATCTCTGAATATGATACAGTTTACAGTTCAGATTGTAGAATGGCCTTTTTTTTTTTCTTTGACCCCTCCTACATGGGATTTGAAACTTCAGATTCAGTGTTTTGATACGATGAACTGGTTGTGACTGAAGTGATGTATTATTTTTTCAGTATGACAGTGAACACGGGACAGTGATCAAAATAACAACTAAATAAGACCTTGCTATGGATATAGTATTTTATAAAATATTAAATTAGACATCATATCCTCACTGCCTCAACAAATTCTTGACCTTCATCTCCTGCATGTTCAAAGTCCCATCTGTGTAGAGAAAATTTTTAAAAAAAGAAAGAAAGAAACAAGTATTACATGCAGAAAGTATTACATTACGCATTGGGACCAGCAGATGGCTTAATGGTTACATTGCTGGATTCCCATGTGGCCGAATGTGGTTTGAGTCATGGACCCAGTGGCCTCAAACGCATGCCGGGGGGCGGGGGGGGGGAATGTGCGAGTGTGCCCAAAATCCTGAGGGGAGAATGGAGGAGAAGGGATTGCAACACGGCCATCTTCCCTAGAGTTGATTTCTTCCTTTTTATCTCTCTATATCTCTCTGTCTCTCCGGTGAGTGCATGCACCCTATAGCAAAAAAATCTCAATTAAAAAAAAAAAAGAAGGAAATATGTACACATTAAGCACCTACAGGGGAAATTAAAGGCCAATAACATTTATGTTCAAGATGCTTGGGGACCAGCAGGTGGCATGGTGGTTAAGGCACTGGACACTCCCACATGGCCAACCAGGGTTCAAGTCCTGAACCTGGTGGCTTGCTTTCTCACTTCCTCTCTCTCTCATTCTCACCCTCTGTCTCTCTCTGCTCAAACTACAAAATAAATGAATGAATAAATAAAATAAATAATTATTTAAAAAAAAAGATGCTTATAGTTTAGTGGGGGAGAAAATCAAGTAAATCAATGACTGTATAAAGCATAAAGCGGGGGTGGGTGGGCAGCAGATAGCACAGCTCTGCGTCCCTAGACTCCCACATGGCCGACCGCTGTTTGAGTGTCAGACCCAGGGCTTGAAACTCACACCAGGCAGGTGTGCACACATCCCCACAATCCCCAGAGGAGAATCCATTGCGATTGATTGCAGTGTGGCTGTCCCCTCTAGGGGATGAGTTCTCACTTTCTCTCTCACTGTCTGCCCCTATTCCCCATGAGCTCACAAGCCCTAACTTCCCACATGGCCCACTGGGGTTCCTGGACTTGGCAGGTTGCTTTTTCACTCCCTCACTCTCTGTGTCTCTCTTTGGATAAATCGAAGAAGAATAATAATAAGTAAAATTAAGTAAATAATTCTTTAAAAAAAGAAAAAGGATAAATGGGGACCATTAGGTGGCACAGTGGTTAAGGTGCTAGATTCCACATGGCCTACTATGGAGGTCCAAGTACTGGATCAGGCAGCATGAAAAACACGTGGGGATGGGGCCAGCAGTTGGCGTAATGGCTATGTTGCTGGACTTCCACGTAGTCGACCGTGGTTTGAGTCCCGGACCTGGTGGCTTAAACTGACGCTGGGCACGTGTGCATGCGTGCCCAAGATCCCGAGAGGAGAATGGAGGAGAAGGGATTGCGGCGTGGCCACCCCCCCCGGGGGGTGATTTCCTGCTTTCTGTCTTTCTGTCTGTCTGGCGAGCGCATGCGCCCTATAGCAAAAACCTCTCAAAAAAAAAAAAAAAAAGAAAAGAAAAACACGTGGGGCACGTGTGTGTGTGTGTGGGTGCCCACAATCTGGAGAGGAGAATGGAGTAGAAGGGATGTTGACCGAGCAACCTGCCAAATTCCTCTGTGCATTTGTGAAATGACAGGACGGAAGACAGTAACCTTCCCAAGGCCCTTTTACTACAGCTAAAGCAGAGAAAGTAGGTAACTTCTCCTCTCTTGGCATCAGGGTTCTAGCTGTGACCCCCTAGTGACAGTGACTGATGTGGTAGATGTCCTCTCTCTTGGCATATTGTCGGCATATTGGGACTCCTTGCTCATAACTGGATACCCATAACACCGTTAGCACTTGTGGGCCTCTGGGTTGTGGAAATTCAACGAGGCAAAACAGGGAAAGTGTGTGTGAGAGTGGAAGAGACTTAAAAATCACTTGTCAGTTTGACACTCCGAGTTTATATATATATTTTAAAGAATTATTTAACTTTATTTATTATTCTTATTTTAATATTTCCAGGGAGAGACACAGAGAAAGAGGGAAAGTGAGAAAGCAAGCCTCCAGGTCTGGGATTTGAACCACAGTTGGCCATATGAGAGTTTAGTGCCCTAATCAACACACCACCTGCCGGCCCCTCTGAGTTTATATTTACCTGTATAAAATCATGTAATTTCTTTTTTTTTGGGGGGGGGAGAGATTTTTGCTATAGGGTGCGTACACTCGCCAGAAAGACAGAGAGAGACAAAGAGACAGAAAGCGAGAAATCACCCCCCAGGGGGGATGGCCATGCCACAATCCCTTCTCCTCCATTCTCCCCTCGGGATCTTGGGCACGCACGCACACGCACCCGGTGTGAGTTTAAGCTGCTGGGTCCAGGACTCGAACCGTGGTCGACTACGTGGGAGTCCAGTGACATAGCCATTACGCTAACTGCTGGTCCCATGAAGCAAATAATAGGGAATGAATTGCAAAGTTCTGAGAGCCCAACCCCTTAACAGCATTGCATTGCTAGGTCTGCGTCCGTGACTGGCTGCAACTGGCAGTTGTCAGATTGCTTCGCTGGTACTCCTCCCAGCACTGTCAAGCTTCCCAGAAAGTGCCTAGATTGTGAGGTCATTCACCTCCCTTAGAAGATACACACTGTCGGGACCAGCAATTAGCATAATGGCTATGTCGCTGGACTCCCATGTAGTCAACTGCGGTTTGAGTCCTGGACCCAGTGGCTTAAACTCATGCCGGGTGCGTGTGCGTGTGTGCCGAAACTCCCAAGAGGAGGATGGAGGAGAAGGGATTGTGGCGTGGCCATCCCCCCAGGGGATGATTTCTTGCTTTCTATCTCTGTCTCTCTGTTTTTCTGGCGACCGCAGGCTCCCTATAGCAAAAACCTCTCCAAAGAAAAAAAAAGAAAAAGAAAGAAGATACACACTGTCTAGTACAGGAATTAGTTGTTAAATTTATCCATTTTTTCTGTCATTTCTGGTTCTTTCCTTTATTGTTTCATAGTATTTTTCATATCATGGTCCAATATCAAACTCTCAGCTTTTAGAACTTAGGAAGGAGCCTTGCATCCAGCATGGATTCAAATCCTGAGTCTACCACCTCTCTTTCGTGATATGTAAAACAGGATTAAAAATACCCACTTTGGGACCAGCAGGTGGTGTGGTGGTTAAGGGTGCTGGACTCCGACATGGCCAACCATGGTTGGAATCCTGGACCTGATGGCTTGCTTTCTCACTTACCTCTCTCTCTCGCTCACTCCGTCCCTCTCTGCTGAAATTACAAAAAAAAAAAAAAAAAAGAATAAAGTTAAATAAAATAATTCTATACCAAAAAATTCCAGGCCGGCAGGTGGTGTGGTGGTTGAGGTGCTGGATTATCACATGGCTGACCATGGTTTGAGTGCCGGACCTAGCAGCTTGCTTTCTCTCTCTCCCTTTCTCTCTGTCTGTCTTTTTC